CAAAACAAAACTGTCAAAGCCAGTCACACAAAACTTCAGCTGCATAAAATCAGTTCAGACAAAGTCGAAGTTTTGCTCATAATCACTTCACGCCCCATACCTCCTCGGTTGCTGAACATATCTTTGCACATGTAAGAGCAGCCGAAAGAGGGTAGCCACTTATGGACACTGTCTGATTTGTGAACTCAGGGTAGACTGATCCATGGGCCATGGCGCCTACCACTACCACTAGAGGACTGTCATCTCCCTCTTTCGGGACAAATTTGCGGAAGTCAACGACGTTGTCCGTGTGGAAACTGGTAGCAATTTTCGCGCAACCAACTGGAAGGTAGTCTGAGATGTCGTTTTTGATTACCTGAATATCACGGTCAGTATTACAAAACAACTAATTTCCTAATTTCCAAAAATCTTCAGACCTTTCTTGAAATACTATGACCGATGTATTCTAATCGCAATGATAATCAAAAATATAGCGAACTAAAACGAAAGAAAGTATGGCCAATTAGCTGACTCCAAAATTGTAATTAAGTTGCTTTATTAAACAGAGTTCTGGACTCAAAACTAGACACACTGCAACAAACTGATGAAAAATTTTATGAGACCCCTTTACAAAAGTTATACATTGTATTCCAGACAAAAAAAAACAAATACAACTCAGATCACTACTGATTACACTCACAATTATTTGGTAGAAGTTTTAAATGGTTTGAAACCAACCACAAAATCAAAATTGACGCTGAATACCTTCAAATCCACTTTCAAACTAGAAAACGTTAACGTTTTTCGCACCATTTCCTCTTTCGTTTCGGAGAGCGCAATTTACCTAACTTTTAGCAGAAGCACTTGAATTCAATTCAAAAAGTGCATATACACCTAAAGGCATTTACAAATGCATGAACAGAAATGCAAAAACAGACCAAAAAATTACGGCAAAGAAAAAATTAGCATTAAAAGATTATGAGCATATGTACATACACATACACATACACACACACACACACACACATATATATATATACATACATACATACATACATATATACATATATACATACATATACATACATACACATATACATATACATACATAGGATGACCCAGCATACAGTCGATTATTAGCATATGTACATAAACATATACATACACACACGCACACACATACACACACACACATACACACACACACACACACACACACACACACACATATATATATATATATATATATATATATATATATATATATATATATATATATATATACATACATACATACATACATACATACATACATACATACATACATACATACATACATACATACATATATACATATATACATACATATACATATACTTACATACACATATACATATACATATACATACATAGGATGACCCAGCATACAGTCGCATTCAACAAATGTCCGTTTTAAAATTTCCCACTTCTGTTGGCAAGTTGTTTATGGAGAAATCTAGTTCCAGAATAAAATACCCTCGTTAATTGCAAGGGCGATAAAGTACACTCCAAATGTTTTCGATAAAGCTTTTTTAAGTTGAAACAAACGTTTTTTTTGCAATTCTTAGATTCTAAGACCCTCTTCGGAAAAAATTCAAGCCTATTTATCTAATAATCTTTCGGATGAATATGAGAGGGTTAATATCAATCAAACTTGGGACAAAAAAAAACAAAAAAATAGGCAAAGAAGAATCATTATATAACTTTTCAATGTTTGAGACTGAAACAAATCGAACATAAAAATAAAAATCGGTTAATTCCAGGAGAACATAACATATGCTTGGCAAGTTTTAAGATTGTGAAAACACATTATTAAAGCATAATAGAACAAATCTTCCAAAATGCTTACGACGGTAGTGGAAACAAAAAACAGACAAAATTTTTTAGCTTAAAAATAAAATTGTAAAATATAAAAAACTAGATTTTTTTTAAATACATTACTTTATTTTCGAAAAAATCCCGAAAAAACTTGTACTCAGCAAAACAATTGCCTATATAGCTTTGCCAGAAAACAACAATTAAAAAACATAAGAAAGACAGAAGACAAAATCCAAAGAAATTCAAAATGTAGAAATTCAAAATGATGACAGAAAACGTCTAGAGCTGTTATAAAGAATTTTCTATGCATTGAGAGCTTAGCATTGCAACCTAGCGAAATGCAAATGAAATAAATTAACTTATTTGAAAAAAATATATATATGAAAAGAGTTACTTTTTTTTTGAAAAAAAAAGATACAATCAATTTCAGAAAAACAGTCGAGAAACACAACCACCACCATTTAAAAAACATTGAGTACTTAACAAGCGGCTACTAAGCCGAAAAAAACCTGAGTAGAGGCACATTGAGTCGAAACCAAAAAAATACCATAAGAAATTCTTATCAAGAAAAAGTTTTGAACGACTAACTAAGAACTTTTATAGCACAACCGACCTGAATTGTCCGAAACAACAATTTTTGCTCTTCAAACTATACAAAATAAATTCATCAAGCCAACACAATGCATAAGCCGAAATCATTTAGGTCGAAAAAATATTCTAGACTTAAAAAACATATATGCAATATATACAAGTCAACAATAGTAAATATACAAACTGTGAGCTAAACAACACTTGCAACTACAGTGAAAACTACAGGCTCAGAAAATATAGAATGTAGCAAACAAGCAAAGAAAACAGGCGATAGTCCCAATACTCAATGTTTGCCGGAAAGAAAATTCAATTTAATACTAAAAAAATCAAGGTCACCGGTAGACCAATTGGGAAGAAGCCTGGTTTTAAAAGATCGAAATTAAAGCAAGTTCAACTTGCGAGACAGCAAAAACTATGCATTACAAAAAAACAAATAGATAAGAGACAAATTTTCTTGGAAAGAGTCGAGAAAAAACTTGTTCACGTGTTCACCTAAGATAATTTCTGTAGACAGCCCGACAAAATATTAAGATTTTGCAACGAGCGGCAACTAACCGACACAACTTGGGTCGACTCCCGTGAAGCCGAAAAGAAAACTGTAGTCATCAAAAATGAGCTATAAAGTTCTGAAACGGGAAGTTTTTACCGGCCCACCCCTCTTGAAACATACAAAATCATTAAATATTAATTTCTTTCCAACGTACGCAAAAGGAGATGACTAAACCATATAACAAACATAGACAACACTTAGTTCGAAAAAGCCGATAAACGCAAGTAAACAAAAAAAGACTACTTTTTTAAAAGAAATCTCAACTTCCGAACTTCCAAGAAAAAAATAGATAGCCTCAAAGCTCTTTGAATTTTAGGAACAGCTTATTATCGACACTTTTTTAATGAAACTAAACTGATTGAGAAAATTGGATTGATAGCTAATTTTTTCATTTCTCTAGGAAAGCTGTAAGAAGTCGATCGCGTTTTTTGTGACATTTTACACTTTCGCTATCGAATAGTTGAGTTTGTCGTCCTTCAAACAAAGAAAATGAGCCTGAACAAACTTTAATATTTTTCCTGGAAAAAAAAACAAAGAAAAAGTCATCAAGACCTATAAAAGAGTCTGAAATACGTTCATCGACTCTTAAAAACCGATACCATTCAAAAATTATTCAAAATCACTGTTAATAAATTTAAAAATTAAAGAACAATTTTCAGTTATAATAAAAACTGTTTAAATCAAAATTAAAACACAAGCTTCGAAAACAAAGCTAATGAAAAAAAAAACCTACCAGAAAATGTAAATGCATTTAAGAAACGGAAATCGAACTGACTAAAATTAAGATAAAAACAACTAATCCGAAAAACACATGATTTTTTCTGTAAATTTATTTGAAAAATTAATTGCTAACTATATAAGGACTAAGTTGGTTGTTATAATTGAAATTGCATGAAATTGACCGTGTCAGCATGTGAAAATAACTGCACGTATTTCTTAATTTCTTACAAGATTTGTAGAAAATATGTTCACGGGAAAAAAAAATTTAGCTCCCGATTACAAGACACTTGCTCTCGCGGGTGTAATTACTAGCCAAAAAAAAGAAAGGATATTTGTGTACGCTGAACTAGTTTTTGTCAATAATTTTTGGAACACATTCCTGACCCAATGATAGCCAAAATTTACGCAGTGGAACACATGTTTACATTACTCAATCTTTTCCCTACCATATTTCAACCATACCGTTTAGCCGGTATTTTTAGCCAGAAAGTCGCATTTGTTCCCGCATGGGCTAAAAATTGCTATCTTTTTCAGATCTGACACTTTAAATACAATTAAATAAATATTTCTTTAAAAAACCAGCATACAAATTTTCATGTTAGAAAAATTGTTCCTATCTGTTCACTTGTTCACACAGATGTTTTATTTTGCTTTATAATAACTGAAGACAATTAATCGCATTTTTTAAAAAGAAATGTGCCAAAAATATAAATAAGGGGATTGAAACAAGAACCTAAAACAGTTCAAATTCAGAAACTGATGCCTCAAAAATCAATTTTTTACATGTTAAATTCGCTGTACATTATATTTATAAAAGGGCACACTCAAAATTGTACCAGATTTATATTTTTTCCATGAAGTTACCTTGAGTAGTTTTACTGGTCCATCTGCAGCTCTGACAACGTATTTGTGAAGCAGCTGCACCATCAGCCCCGCAAACCTAGGAAACGTCCTCGGTATCCTGGTCTGGGGGTGCACCTCAATCAACAAGTTCTTGTCAGTCCTAAATACCAGCGTACTAGTCTTTCGTCTATTCCCAATCTCATTCAATAAAATTGTCATACCTATAGATTTGTCGGTTATTTCCAGGGACGCCAAGAAAAAATCATTTATTGCAATAATTATATTGCAATAATTTACATTTCATGCTTAAAAAGAATAGCCGGTAGCTATGCAAGAAGTATAGAATAATCCGACTACAACTATTTTTGCAAGCTAAGGACGATTTAAAAAAAAATACTGAGCCTACATTTAAGAAGCTCTAAAAACAGACGAGGTTTAATTCGCGACTAGTTCCTCTGAAAATTAAAATACAGAGATGAAACGTATAATCGTTCTGCGGATTTTCGTTTGGCAAGCTAGCCAAAATCGAAATATCAATCTATAAATATTTTTTACACATTTGACTCAAATGCAGATGTTTTTCAGCATCACGAGGCCAAACTATGCCCTGGATAGACGCACAATTTTGTGTCTGTATGTTCCTGGATTCCAAAAACTAATCTTTAAACATATTTCAAAATGTAAGGGGACTCCACTTACAAAACTTCCGTGGATTCCGCGTACATATGAGTATAACGTAAATTTTGTCGGCACATTTGTTTTGTTGCGGATTCCGCAACAAGCGAATAGAGCTAGTAGTTTTGGATTCCACAACTGTAAAAGGATTCCGCAAAATGTAAGTGGAATCCGCAAATGTAAGCGGATTCCGCAAACTGTAAGTGGATTCCGAATTTTGATCAATACTGAACTTCCATATGAACAATTAAAAACTAGATCTGGAATGCGGAATTTATAAGAAAGGACTTAACCATTGTCAGCGGAATCCGCTAACAAGTCTGAAAACATTGGTTACCTAAATTGGTGGATGTCATCTTTTAGTATTTTGGAAACACACTACCGAATAATTTCAATATTTGGAGTCATTGAGTTGAGAGTGTATGGAAATACAACACACAGCATACCGCCAAATTAGGTCAGTATTTGGGATTGCGTCAATCACAAATGCTAATTTTGGAAGCAAAACGCCGAATAAATTAAGTAATTGTAGTCATTGGGTTGAGAGTGTACGGAAACACAACACACAGCCACACAGCATATCGCAACTTAGGTCAGTATTTGGGATTCTATCGATCCCAAATACTGGTCAGTATTTGGGATTGATGGAATCCCACAAACTAGAATAATATGGAAAAAATATGTAAAAAATTCATTATTTGGAGTCATTAGGTTGAGAGTGATTAGAAACCCAACGCATAGCAAATCGTCGAATTAGTTCAGTATTTGGGATTTCATCGAACCCAAATACTGGTCAGTAATTGGGATTCCATTAATCCCAAACACTGATCTAGCAAATTCTTATTTTAGAGAAAATCAAATTATGTAATAAAAAGATATAATTTTAAACGCTACTACATACATACATATATGCAGACGGAATCCGCAAACAAAATGCGGATTCCACTTACAATTTGCGGATTCCCCGTACACTTTGCGAATTCCGCTTACAGATGCGGCTTCCGCAACAGCTCAATTCAACTATACACATGTCTGATTGTTTGTTTGAGGACATATACTTTAAAGATTTTAAAGTTTTTTACACCCAAAAACGATATATACACTCATTTGTTGCTTTCAAGCGATGCAATATGAAGCAGCTATGACCATAAAACTTAAACTATAATTTTTTGCTTTCCAAGCGATGTACTATGAAGCAGCTATGACCATAAAACTTAAACTATAATTTTTCAGGCAAAAAAAAACTTTTTCAGCGAAAACTAAAAAAAAAGAAGAAAAATGTACTGATTGACGCAAAAAGAGCGAACAAAAGAATTGACAAAAAGACTCACTGTTTCTAGATAAACTGTTAGATTGAAATAGGTATATGTTCTGATTTGATAACGCTGGATAATCACAAGCGTAATTAGTCTGAAGCAAATTTTCAGACCACAGTTGATCTAAATTGGTCTGAACAGCCAAATGTCAACTTTTCTCATACAAAAAAAGTCAAACGACGATTCAAACGGAACACTAATTCGTACCAGGCGACAATTAGTAGCTTACAATTGCTAAGGGGAACTTACAGGCCATTGTTGATTTAAATTGGTCTGAATAGTCAAATTTCAGTTTTTCTCAACACCATAAGAAATTATTTGATTTACTTTGGATACCAAATCAGCACCACTAGGATTTTCATATGAGTGAAGCGACAACTTGTTGAAATTAAGGGGAGCGAATCATTGAAATGTTTTCAGATGGTACGTTATTACCCGGTAAGACATTAAAATCTTCGAGGATTTACCAACTAAAGAGAGCATGCTCACAAAAAAATATATTTCAATAGGAGCTAGAAGTTTCATAACATTTAGGAGTAAATTTTCATAACACAAGCGTTTACTGAATATTCAATTTAACTACTTAAATCTACAAAAAGCGTTGGAGACACAAAAATTTGGCGTGCATTTCCGCAAGGTGAGGTAAGCGATCTCTAGATAAATTAAAATTAGTAGGATTGAGAAAGCTGTTTTTAATCCAAGGAGATATTTTCCGGGAGAGGAGAAACTGGCATACAGCTGACAAATCAAAAATTTGCAATATAACCATCATAATATGCAAAGTCTCGACTCTCACGAGCCAGCTAGGACAAATTCAGGTTTACAAGACCCATTTAAGAAAAACTATACTGCAAAGATGGACCTACCTGATGTAAATCTGCAAAAGCCCCGCCTTGTTCAGCGGGCTATCCAACAACATCAGTAAACTCTGATGACAAATGTCTGGTCTCACAGTGCTCGGGTCAATATTCTGCTTCAGCATTAGATGCTTGTGCTTATCGCAGTCTAGCAGTTCGTAATTGCTGGACGTTTTCGCTGTTTGCAAACTTGCTTTATCTAGCACAACGATGAGGCGTTTCTTTGAATTGACCGATGAGGAGTCCATTCTGAGCACTTTAAAGGGCTTAATTCTAGAGTAGTTTTGTACAAACACTGGAAGTGAACAAAAAATATCTTTTCTGTTATTGCGCCGATAACTGTATGCCACGAGAGAAAAATTGACTCTTTTCCAGTTCTCTCCAAATAAGATTTCAAAACCCGACTAAAAATGGCTTCTAATATTTATAAATTATATTATAACATACCAGTGTGAAGAAATGAACTGACGAGTAAACGTTTCTAGCAAGCAAACTGTCGTATGGCTCAGAATTAGGAAAAATTTGACAAAAGAAGCAAAATGAAGTAAAAAAAAGAACAAGAAAAAGTTCATTTTTCTGAAAACTTTCATACGAAATAGAGACAGAAAAATCAATTCAACTGCTCAGTATTTACTGCTCTTAAGATTTTTTAACTAATAGTTTAATATTACCTTTCAATCTATGCTTCAATATTTCCTTTCAATTTATTCTTTAAAATGTTTTTATTGGCTCAGAAAAAAAGAGGATATCTATGATTTTATCAACTAATTGCAAATGACAGACTTAACACATATTCATAATGAAACCTTTCGGTTTAAATTCAGCCCTTTTCCGATCTCTGGCTTGGATTCGGCCACTTCATTGTCGTCCAAGACGTCTTCTTTCTGCTCTTTTTCTTCAGCTTTCGACTTCAGTTGAGCTGACGCTCTTTTACGGTTCTGTTTTCCCATCGGTAATCACACTCAAACCTGAAAAAAAACTCGGAGTTTTAAATCTTTGCAACCATTCGAATATGCACTTATGGTTTGGATCAACCCCAGAACTATAACTAAAAACCAAAATCAAGAAATTTACAGACCGCTTCAAGGGCATCGAATGTGGTTTCATTTAAAGGTTTCATTTAAAAGCCCCTTTCAGTCTTTATTTCCTTTCCAAAATGTTTCTAAAACAGTTATTCACTATGTGGAGGAAAACTTTTCACAAAAATTTCATTTCCAAACTGGTTTTTTTTTGCAAAAGATAACCAAAGTAGAACCGATCAAACAGAAATTAAAAATTACAGTGGTTAAATAACAAACGCAGACCAGTTTTTCTCGACACTAAAACTTTTGGAAATTTCAATTTGAAATCCCAATCAAAACTGCTTGGGCATTAAGATAGTACCTACCTAACACAAATTTGACCACCAGAAATTTACTTGGAAGTACCTAAAATCTACCCAACGCCATTAAAATTTCCCACTTTTTCGAGTGCGCGGATCAAAGACACAGCACAGTGGCGAAGAGAAGCTTCTCATCACTTGCAATACAAAACAAACAAATCTGATATAAAAAAGAAACCAAGAAAAACTCTGAAGGAAAACTAGAAAAACCGATAAACATATAAAATTCAAAAAACTGAGTAAAAATTTGACACTAGGCACAAAATCAAAACAAAGATAGCCGGTTGCTGTGCAAGTAGCACAGAATGTTCCAACCACATTCAAAACGAAAACTTTAAAAACGTTTCGTTTTAAGTGCGTGGTGTGATTGCAGAACTATACAAACGCGTAGAATTAGACATTATGGACAAAAAAATGAAAAAAGCTTTAAGAAATTTAATTTCTAACTTTTTTGCAAAACAATTTTCTAATTTTGTTTAAAAACTTTTAACGACAGAGAAGAGCTCAATCAAACTTCCTAAACTTGGTTTGAGTAAAATCAAGTTTTATAGCCCAAAAACCCTTATAAAAGTTAAATTTTTATGTAACGAAGGCAACTCAATCGCTTTACTCGAAACTGAATAACGACTTAAAACACTTCACGACACTATGACACCTTTATGAAACTTTTTCAATGTCGTTCGAAACAACTGAAAGGGCTTTAAATTGATATATCACTCCAACCATTCATTTCATTCAATAAATTATTTGTGGTACCTGATTTTGTGTTGAAAAAAAAACTATAACAAACCCGAATACTAAGTTCCTCCCCGTTTTCAATGATCGGAACAGAAAAATACAACAATTGTGCGTAGAATGTGTCTTTCCTTGAGCAAATGAATTTTTAAGGAACTAGGGAACAAAGCCAAGCTTCAAGTTGAAAAAAAAATAACTTTTACGCCGAACCAAAAAAAACTTATTTTTCGCCGAAAATTAAAACAAAAATCACAATTAGCATGTGTCTTCACTGCGCTCATTGACACTTATCAAGAGCGACCAGTTGCCGTATGAATTACTTATGACCCTCTGAAAAGCTACACTAATAGTGCATGAAAAAAAAAGACTAAGCACGTTCTAATTTTTTGGAACATCCCTCTCAGCTTATGTTTTTCGCCTTTTTTCAATCAAAGAAATTGGTAGGCGTAAAAATTAGATGAGAAGCGAACTAGCACTTCGCAAACACAATCAGTAAATTCTTAGATAAAACCTAAGATTTAAAGATGAGTTAATTTTCGGATTTCTTTCCCATAATTTCCCTATTCCACTAGGTAGAATAAACCGTGATATGATTTGCATCTCGTTAAAAATTATTCAGACTGAGAACCTTGCTTCAATTCAACTCGGAATGATTTTTGAGTCGGATGAATGGCGAAAAATTTTGCAAAAACAAGCAAGAAAACGGCGAAAAATATATCTAAAAAGCCAAAAAAAGGTAAAGAAAAAGTAAAAATAAGCCTCGAACTTTAAGCTCTACAAAACCAAAAACAAAGTGAAAACCAGGCAAGAAACAAAAGCTTAGAAACTCTTATTATGAGCCGGAATTGGGCATCCGAACTTTTGAAATTAGAATTTTCACGTCCTTGCATCTGCGACACGATTGCTGGGAAAGTTACGAACATTAGCTAGTAATAAAGCAGCTACAAATGCTAATAAATTGCCAATGTTATGCAGCAAAATACCACCAAAAACTTTACTGTGCCCGACTTCAACCTCCTACCTGTAGATTAGAATCCTCGCATCTGCGCCAAGGTCGCCTGCAAAAAATAAACAATGCCACAAAAAAGCAGCTACAGGTGCTATCTTTTTGAATACCAATGCTTAGAAAATTACCGAAAGTGTAACAAAATGAGCACTTCTATTTGCGACTTGGTTGGGAAAAAAAGTTACTTCGTTGTATTACACTAATCTCCATTGTGTAAATACAATCAATACCTTATGACATTTAACTGCAATACCTAAAATTGCATGGAAAATCAATCCACTGTAGGTTGCTTTCACTCGATAAAGGTCGGAACTGATTTTTCATAGCTTTATTTTTTCGAGGCGATATATCACCTCGTATCTTATGTTGTATCTTATTTTGAATCGTACCCAAAAAACTCAAGTGGCGTATCTTAAGAATTCAGGGGAAGCTGCAAATTAGATCGGTCAGATTGAGCCTCTTATGGCAGCTCTCCTCATATACAAAAATTAAACTGACTTCAGCACCGCGGGAACATTGTTGAGATGAAAAAAGAAAAAAAAATTGAGTTTTTGTACAATTTATTCAAAGCGTGGCTGTATTTCCAGGCCAGAGGCTCTCACCCATTTTGTTATCACATTGATGGAGTGGCGCTAATCCTTTTTTACTAACTCGAAAGGGTCTAACTGAAGAATACATTTTCTAAAGAGAAAAAAGCAGTTGACTGATATCGGCGATCAACCTTTCGCCGTAATGCTGTATCATGACGGCCAAACTACAAAGCAAATATCAGAGTTCTCTTCATTAAGGCGCAAGATTTAAGAATGCCATGCACTAGAAACCAACGCGCTAATGCTAAATTTGAGTACGGAAATGAGCTAAGTGACTTGTATTGAAATAAGTTCGCGTTTAACTTAAACGAAAACTCCTCTTTTATAACAATTACAGCTTCCTCAAAATATCTAATTTTCACCTTCAAACACAAAAATTTACCAGAAGAATTACTTCTCAGAACGCTAATTGAAGGACACATTTCAATAGTTGCAGCATTTTTTTGTTTTTTTTTTCATCCAACGTTACTTTTAAAGAATTTTTATCTCGTACATACTGCTGCCTCGCCTTTGATCAAAACTTTTCTATCATTTATATTCGCATAAAAACACTATTCAATTCCAAATATAAAACACTGCAAGTTCAATACTTTTGGATAATACAATTAATCTACATTCAAAGCAACTAATAATACATAATCCAGCGTGCTCTAGAAATTCAAGTTGATGTATTTCAGGTCCAGGTAGTCTTCAATTCCATAAATAGAGCCCTCCCTCCCAATGCCCGACTCCTTCAGCCCTCCGAAGGGTGCCAATTCGCTCGATATAATGCCCTCATTAACTCCGACCATGCCGAATTGAAGTGCCTCGCTAACTCGGAATATCTGGGCGGCGTTGCTGGAGTAGACGTAGCCAGCTAGTCCCACGTCTACACTGTTCGCCATCTCAATCACTTCTTCTTCTGTTTCGAACCTAACACACCAAAACCAAAAATATCCAATAGGTTTCTAAAAATTTTTAATAGTTACTTTTCTGGCATCTCCATTGTAATGCTTAGAATGACGTTTAACAATTAAATGTTCAAAACAATCTATCTGTTTGTTCGATTGTTTTAAACATATTCATTAAGATTTTGGGGGTATTAAGTCCGTCATGAGCCAAACTTAGTTCAACTCTCGTTAACCTCGCCAAGATATATTAGAATATCCAGGTGCTTATTCATAGCCGGGCCACGTCACAAAGCATACTAGTCGGTTATACTTTCATAAAAAAATATCGCTTACCTACAAAAATTATCCCGTGTGCCAAAATAACGTTTTGATCAACCACTGAGAACAGAGGAGTCCGTTTTTCATCGTTTTTTTTTTGTTTAAATAATAAGTGAACTTCCGACTTTTGAAAGTATAGCATATTTTATGAGCCGTTTGTTTGTCAACCGAATTTTAGCTTCTTTGAGGAGTTTTAACGCTGGAACCAGTTCTCTTTCTGACTTGAGAATCCCGCTAACTCGCTTAAGTTTAAGTTTTTTGAAGTTTCTTGAAGCTTTTTGAAACAATTTACGGACGCCTTTTATGTTTTCGTCGATTTTCTTTATAAAATGCTTCGCTGTTATTAACTAAATCTCACTAAATCAACACTTGCTGAGAAGGCACATTCTATCCAAATGTGATAACATAGCCATAAGACAGTTGGGAAAGAGTCAGTGAACGCAAAGAAACTGAAAAAAAGTTACTCGCCTTTCGAACAAAAAAATATTGGTCCTTTTTGATGGCTTTTAAAAATGGAAAATTCATTTTGCCTACCTTCTAGCAAATGAACTTGAATTGAACTCAAAATTTGCATATATAACTAAAAATGCATTCATATGTGCATTTAAAAGTATGAATGCACTTCTTTTGTTATTAGAGCATTTTAAGACTTTTCCTGACGAAAAAAAAAACGAATATATATATATATATATATATATATATATATATATATATATAGTATATATATACACCATGACCTATAGAAGAGTCTGAACTACGTTAATCAACTCTTAAAATACGACGGCAGGGCAAAAATTCGTACACATAGGCAAAGCTGCAGCTTCGCAAACACGAGCGAAAAAGCGGTAAATATTTAAGAGCTTTAAAATGTACAAAAACTCAATTATTTGGTAGGTAACAAATTAAAGGCAACCACCATCACGTTGCATGTTATAGTTTTGAATGTATTTTTATGAGTATAAAATGCATCTTCGAGTATATCGAGTTGGAAAACTTCTGAAATGGGGCTTATTATTATACTGTTGTAGGAAACAAATTGCTTTTTTCGGTTCAGTTGATTAATTAAACAAACATCGACTGAGTTGACTTTTAATAATCAGATGTCGAGGCACATATGTTATTAAAAAGCTAATGCTGCCTACCGACTCAAAAGTACCACCAAAAGTAGCACTATCAATTGGGACTTAGGTTGGAAAAAAGTTTCATTATACTATCACACTACGCTACGCTCGAGTAAACCAGCGGCAATTCTTTTCCAGCGACAATTCGCAGCAATGCGTCGGCAAGCAGTACACTCTTGCTCCGCAGCGCTTACATCCGGTACAAGAGGAATACTGCGTGTCTACTCGAGAGGAATGCTGCGCGCTCAATTTACTGGTACGAACTGTCGCCTCTGTTACGATTTGTCGTGTGTTACGAATTTGTCGTCTCGTGATAATAACTACTCTTTGACAACAGCATGTCAAAAAAAAGTTATACAGTCAGAAAAAAATTTTGGAGACTTATTGTTCCATTTTTAGCCAACATACGAAAAAAAAACAATAATTTTTACCGGTTAATTAAAACTAGCATGTTTCACCATGGCGCGGAAAAAAATTGACGCAGAGCTTAAATTCAAAAAACTTCCAATGTGCGTTATATTCCTATTTTCTGATAAAAAAAGCAAAACTTTCTGTAAAAAGGCAAAAGCATCCTGATTGTTAAAAGCACCTACTTCAGAGATTTCACCGCTAATTATAGAAGGGTATATCCTTAGAAATTTTTTTAAAGTTTACTTTGTCACGGCAGCCATTGGTCCAAACGTCTCGTCTCTGTGGACCAGTGCATCCTTAGGAACATCTGTAATCAGAGTTGGGTGGAAAAAATTGGGACCCAGTTCCGTAGCAGGGGCTCCTCCAACCTTCACTGACGCTCCCCTGGAAACAGCATCGTCAACGTGTTCCTTGACCTTGATTACGGCTCGATTATTGATCAAGGGTCCCAGACTGCTGGTAGGGTCTATTCCGGGTCCACATTTTAGTTTTTTCACTGCCTCAGACAATTTGGAACAGAATGTGTCGTATATTGTCGACTGCACAAATATTCTGTTGGTGGACACGCATGTCTAAATATAAAATCTTCTGTCTAAACATAAAATCTATACAAGAAACTATAGACATTTTCAGGAGAACGCAACAAAATTGAGAGGTTATAATATTTTAGCATCAATCGAAAGAACAGCCAACTGACAGTTGGAAAAGAGACAATGAACAAGAAAAATGAAAAACTAATTTGTTTTAAGAAAAAAAAAACAATTCCGGAGTAGAAAATAAATGGCTTTATAGTTCTTTGAACTTCAAGAGCAATTTATGTTGGAAACTTCTTAATTTAACTCAATTTGAGAAAACTGGATCAATAGGTAAATTTTTATTCCGCTGGTTTTTGGAAGTTTTTGGAAATCTGAAAAATCAATTCCTTTTTCGAAACTAGAAGTCGATCACTTTTTGCGCGAACTTTGAAAAACGACCAAAAATACAATCGAAAAACACAAACACCCAGAAAACAATTGAAGAATCCTCCACTTGAAAACAATTAAAACAAATTCCGTCAATTTGCAAATCACATCCCAAAACTTAGTTAATTCAGTTTTCCACGGCACACTTAACTAGCAATGAGATCTCTGAATATGTGAACACCCAAAACATACCACCATGAAAAAGTTGTACAACATACCAGCTTCTTCCAGCGCAAAAAAGAACAAAAATTTGAGAAACTAAAATGCATCGACAAGCATTTAAACATTAGGATTAATGCAAAAAAGACACAAAATCAGCTCAAAGAAATCAACGTTTACTACATTTGAACAACGCGCAACTAAGAAGTCAAGAAAAGCAATGTAAAAAAAATCCCGCTTAACTCTCCTATTAAAAAAAAACAAAAACATGAAGATGACACGCGCATTTAATTTTTTAAATCACGCTAACAGTCCATTTTTTAAGAGGAGGTGAGCGCAACTTCATGCACAGCTCTATGAAAGTGTCAATGGTTTTTGTTTTCACTGACTTTTTTTAACGAATAAAACACAAATCTGTAAATAAAATCTGTTTGTCGTGATTGACTTTCATTTTGTAACATGAAATATCGAAAACATGTCTAAAAACACAATCACCAGCAAAAACTTTTCTGCTTTTGAAATTGAAAACTTCCACCACAACCCTCCTGGAACTCACAAAAGCAAAAATATAATTTAGCTTTTCAAATGACAACACAATCTACGGTGAGAAAGCCAAGAGCATACGCAGAAACCATTTGAGCAACAGTAAACGTTATAAAACTTCTTTTTTACATAATCAGAGTTGGAAAACTTGCAAATCAAAGAATGACTTTGAACTACAGAATAAATTCAAACAAAACTCAAAATTAAATTAAAACAATCCATGTTTTGGAAAGAAAGCCGGAAAAAATTAGCAGAAAAACGTTAGTCCAACAATTAAATTTTCTCAGAAAAAAATCAATTTCAATTTACAAACAAAACAATGCCCAGCCTGACGTACGCTTCACCACGCACAACTTTACCACTTATTCAAGTGAGAAGGGTCCTGAATATTATTGAGGTTTCATGAAAAAAAAGCGAAAAAGTGAAAAAAAAATTTGATTAAAGGAAAAAAGAAAAACCATGATAATAAATTACTAATGACACAAAATAATAGACTTCCAACAATTTGCAAAAAAAAAAATGAACTGAAAAAAGAAACCCAGAAAACAATTATACGTTGTCAAAAATTAGTGAATTCAAAAAAGGTAGAAAAATCGCTGATGAAACAAAAGGAAAACACTAATTTTTTTCTCATTTGTTGATTTGTAATTTTTTTTTCAAAAATTGCTCTTTATTTCTATTCGCACATCAAATGAAGTAACTGCCAGTTGCGAATTGAAATTTTTTTGAGGCTTTTAATTTTTTTTGAACTTAACATTAGTTTAAGTTTTTTTCAATGAAAATTTTATCCAATTTTCTGCAGCTTGTAGCATGCTTCAGAACTAAAATATTGAACCAATTATATGATTTAACAGAGGTGCGAAGCTCAGCTTCGCACCACTTGCGATACAACACAAACACAAATGAAAAAAATAGGTAAGCCAAAATATTCCTAAACGACCATTGAACTTTTCATCTCAGATTTGACCGGGTTCATTTTGGGAAAATTCTAAACGTTTCTAAAATACGGTCGAAAGTTCAAAAACACGATTTTCTGAAACCAATATTTTATTTCTGCAGAACGTTCCCAGAACCAGGTTTCTCGGCTGAAAACTTAACCTGAGAATTAGCGCGATAGTTTTCAAGTGAGGTCGAAAAATTTCCAAAAAACAGTCAAAGTTTCTTTGAGTTCTTTGAAAGCCATAACTTTTTTTTCTAAAAAATGGGCCTAGTCAACTATAAAGGTAAGTTATTTGACATTCACGAGAATCATAGCTATTTGTGTTTAGGGACTTTTTCAGATGAGTGCACCATGACGCTAAAAAAATTAGCACACAGAACTTCGACAGAGAGGCAGGCTGAGCTGCGGCTTCTTGCGATACAAATATGAATGACAATGAAAATCAAAACGAAAAAAATCAAAAAATAATTTTGTTAATAAAAATTGAAACAGAAACCCAAAATATCCGGAACACAAATGCCTGAGCTACGGGAACTAAGCCGGCAAAAATAAACAGACCGTCGATAGTAGGAAAAAGCAAAAAAAAACACAAGTTTGCAAAAAAGGGCCCGACCGACTTTGAACTGCAAATCTTAGCCGTCTCAAGCAGTTGTTTTTATCTCTACGCCAGAAAGGCCGAATGGTTGATTGGATTTGAATTTATTATTGCCAAGCGGTAACAAAGCCAAAAAACCTGAGCCGACACCCTTCATGCCGAAAAGAAATGAGAGGATGCGCACTTGAGAGACCTAGGACACATGCGCACTTGAGAGAGACAGAATCGCAAATATCTGCCGTCTCAAGCAGTTGTTTTACCTCTACGCCAGATACGCCGAATGGTTGATTGAATTTGAATTTATTATTGCCGAGCGGTAACAAAGCCAAAAAACCTGAGCCGACACCCTTAATGCCGAAAAACATGAGAGGATGCGCCCTTGAGAGACCTAGGAAAAATGCGCACTTGAGAGAGAGAACCGCAAATATCTGCAGTCTCAAGCAGTTGTTTTACCTCTACGCCAGATACGCCGAATGGTTGATTGGATTTGAATTTATTATTGCTAAGCGGTAACAAAGCCAAAAAACCTGAGCCGACACCCTTCATGCCGAAAAACATGAGAGGATGCGTACTTGAGAGACCTAGGACACATGCGCACTTGAGAGAGAGAACCGCAAATATCTGCAGTCTCAAGCAGTTGTTTTACCTGTACGCCAGATACGCCGAATGATTGATTGGATTTGAATTTATTATTGCCAAGCGGTAACAAAGCCAAAAAACCTGAGCCGACACCCTTCATGCCGAAAAGAAATGAGAGGATGCGCACTTGAGAGACCTAGGACACATGCGCACTTGAGAGAGACAGAATCGCAAATATCTGCCGTCTCAAGCAGTTGTTTTACCTCTACGCCAGATACGCCGAATGGTTGATTGAATTTGAATTTATTATTGCCGAGCGGTAACAAAGCCAAAAAACCTGAGCCGACACCCTTAATGCCGAAAAACATGAGAGGATGCGCCCTTGAGAGACCTAGGAAACATGCGCACTTGAGAGAGAGAACCGCAAATATCTGCAGTCTCAAGCAGTTGTTTTACCTCTACGCCAGATACGCCGAATGGTTGATTGGATTTGAATTTATTATTGCTAAGCGGTAACAAAGCCAAAAAACCTGAGCCTACACCCTTCATGCCGAAAAACATGAGAGGATGCGTACTTGAGAGACCTAGGACACATGCGCACTTGAGAGAGAGAACCGCAAATATCTGCAGTCTCAAGCAGTTGTTTTACCTGTACGCCAGATACGCCGAATGATTGATTGGATTTGAATTTATTATTGCCAAGCGGTAACAAAGCCAAAAAACCTGAGCCGACACCCTTCATGCCGAAAAGAAATGAGAGGATGCGCACTTGAGAGACCTAGGACACATGCGCACTTGAGAGAGACAGAATCGCAAATATCTGCCGTCTCAAGCAGTTGTTTTACCTCTACGCCAGATACGCCGAATGGTTGATTGAATTTGAATTTATTATTGCCGAGCGGTAACAAAGCCAAAAACCTGAGCCGACTCCCTTCATGCCGAAAAACATGAGAGGATGCGTACTTGAGAGACCTAGGACACATGCGCACTTGAGAGAGAGAACCGCAAATATCTGCAGTCTCAAGCAGTTGTTTTACCTGTACGCCAGATACGCCGAATGATTGATTGGATTTGAATTTATTATTGCCAAGCGGTAACAAAGCCAAAAAACCTGAGCCGACACCCTTCATGCCGAAAAGAAATGAGACGATGCGCCCTTGAGAGACCTAGGACAAATGCGCACTTGAGAGAGATAGATAGCAGACAAATGCGCATTTTTTCGGAAGTAACAACGCAATAAGACGTCACTTAGTCGATATTTATTAAGCCGAAATTTATCCGGCTGATAAAACAGACGAAAAACAAAACAAAAAAATAAGATTTCATAAAATCGAGCTGGCAAAATTGCAACCAATGTGACAGATAAAATAAACGATTCTCAGATGTGGCAACTAAGCCGACAAAACATAAGCAAACAAACATAAGCCCAATTTTTTTTGACCGGGAACAATTATCGTTTAAAAAACTGGTCCTGTCAGATTCGAACCCAAAACCTTTGCCGTCCCAGGCGTATTCCTTACTACCAGGCTAATTAAGCTAAAGACAGTGCAACATTTGAATTCATTATGAACCAAAGTATCACTAGGAGTCCAATGAGTCCGGAGGACAAAGTTGCTTGCGGGGGAAAAAAGTCTAGAACCGGATTACAATACCCTTGCTGTCGCGAGGGTAAACAATGTTACTATTGCAAAAGGAACTAGAAAAACGATGAAATAATATGCTTGCAATACCCGATTCGCAAGGGTGAACACTGCTATCGCAAGGGTAAACAATGTTACCATTGAAGAAGGAAGA